GTAAACGTATGCTACTTTGCTCAGCAATATCTAATTTTCCCCTTTCAAAGATCTCATGCTGTGAATACCTTTGTGTGGGGATTCTCTAAGACTAGCATTTTTTACCTGATTTTCTAACAAAGTCACCAAGTCGTATATGCAAATTAAATTTATGGAAGTTGTTCTCTATTGGTACATGTTCATCACTTCAACAATATGAGAGTTTATGAAGTAAGAAAAGGTTTCTTGTTTATATACACTATATTTAGAAATTTTGGGGTATTCCATATATGTGTTGCTCAGAGTTAGTATATTTCTGTTCTTTCTTGTCAACCTGAAGGTATGTACTGGTCTCAGATCTTATATTCCTGTACCTATTCTAAAGGTAACCAAATTATTCACCACTAATAGATCAGGATGCATTTCATGCTTAAATACATGACTATGTTCTTTTGCTTTGACTTTTAAATTCTGGAAGGTTGTAAGAAAATATAAGTACACCTCAGGCAGATCAGTGCCTGGAAAGAAACCTTTTAAAATGGAGAAAATAGATAAGGGACTGCTCATTAGGGAAATGCTTAGTGCTTTCTAGAAACATACAGGAAAAGCTTCATCTGCTCTCTTGCATCTTATGTAAAAATGAGATAGATGGAATTTCTATTCAGAAACTTTGGTTTCTGTGGTATGTGTCTAGAAATAAGTTCAGCCAAGGATGATGTGGCTGTAGAAGTGTCTGTGCAGCTGGAAACAGATATGTCAAGTGTGGCAGGCACTTGTGTGGGATATGGCCATGCAGATTCCCAAGGGGTGCACTCTTGGATTAGCCAGTTACTTCTTTTCAGTACCTTGAAAGAAGTTAAGGTCTTCATGTACATAAGAACTTTTTGTGTCCATGTAACCTAAGTTGTCCTGGTTTCAGCTGGGATAGAGTTAACTGTCTTCCTAGTAGCTGCTACAGTGCTATGTTTTGAGTTCAGTATGAGAAGAATGTTGATAACACTGATGTTTTCAGTTGTTGCTAAGTAGTGTTTAGACTAAAGTCAAGGATTTTTCAGCTTCTCATGCCCAGCCAGCAAGAAAGCTGGAGGGGCACAAGACACAGCCAGGGCACCTGACCCAAACTGGCCAACAGGGTATTCCATACCATGTGGCGTCACATCTAGTGTATAAACTGGGGGGACTTGGGGCGGGGAAACGTCCCATCTAGTATAGGAACTGGGAAGTGGGGGGGCAGGGATTCGCCGCTCGGGGACTGGCTGGGTGTCGGTCGGCGGGTGGTGAGCAATTGCCCTGCGCATCATTTGTACATTCCAATCCTTTTATTACTACTGTTGTCATTTTATTAGTGTTATCATTATCATTATTAGTTTCTTCTTTTCTGTTCTATTAAATCGTTCTTATCTCAACCCAGGAGTTTTACTTCTCTTCCTGATTTTCTCCCCCATCCCACTGGATGGGGGGGAGTGAGTGAGCGGCTGCGTGGTGCTTAGTTGCTGGCTGGGGTTAAACCATGACAGTTTTTGATTGAACTGATCATTTTAACAGTAAAACTCACTTTATGGACTTTTAAAGTATACTTTGTTCTCACTGAAGTTCCTTTGTAAACAGAAAAAGAGGTAAATTAAAAAAAAAAAAGAAAATGCTCAAATTAATACAATGAAAGATGCCATAATACTGGAATCAGATGATTCATAGTAGAACATAGAGATATAACTGTTGACGCATTACAAAAGGGCTAAGTCCAAATAAATAGCGGATTTCCTTTCTTGCTATCTATTTTTTTTTTCTCCCTTGGAGATAAAAAAATACTTAAGCTGCACTGGAAAATATTCTAATTTGAATGTCTTTTGACTCTACCTGACAGGAGATCTTGAAGGCATTGAATTTACCATCTTGCATCGTAGATGGAAAACTAGACATTTGATTTTATTCATTTTTAACCACCAGTTTAGTGGGCAATGGTGTTTCTCTAACATCAGTTAACTGCTTGGATTCTAGTACCATGCTATTATTACTTGTGGTAGGGTTTTTTCATTATTTTTATTTTTTGGATGGCTGGGAATTGTGGGTAAAAGCAGGTTATGCTGCCTTTTAGTCTTTTTCAGCATTTTTGAGCAGAATTTGATTTTTAGTTGCATGTAACATTGCTAAAATGGAAAATTTCATTCCAAGTTATATATTAGCCACCTTCAGCTTTTGTATGGAAAATTTTAGCAAGTATTTTTTTTTTTTAATAAAAAGTGAAACTTGATAGTATGTTTCCACTCTACTAGAGGAAAACTGTAGCTGTTTTCTCTTAGAAAAATTCTCCTGCCCCTTTCAGAAGGGATCTGAGGCAGATGGTCTTCATACATTTTGTCTTCTGTTATTCATGTCTAAATATATTTCATTTCTGCAAAGTTATTAGCCTTTGAATTAGGTTTAAAAGTCCATATTGAGAATGGATAAACTTTTGCAGTTAAATGTAACACAGACACTGTATTGAATGTATTTTACCACAAGCTGGAATGAGCAGAGCTTTATTTCCAGTTTCAGTAAGAAGATGCATCAGACCAGGGCTAGGAGCAAGAACTTGGCCACAGGAGAGTGTTTTCAGTCCCAGTCTGATTTTCATAATCTCTGTAGGAGAACTGGGAATTCTTCCACTTTATTTGCACCCAATAGACAAAGTGTAAAAAGTGCATGAAAATAAAGTGTGGTGAAATTTAGGAATCTGAGTTGAAGCTTTGGGAGGAAGGACCTTTTCCAATATCAGGGTGTGTGAGACTGAGAACTGTGGTGCTTAAGTCTAAATTGATAGTGTAAAATGATTTGTGTCAGGATGAGGTAAAGGAGACATAGGGGACATGAATAATGGTTGTCCCATACTTGTCGTACCTATTAGGGTATGTTAATTAGAGAAGGATTTGTCTCATTCGTCTTAGCCTATTTATCCTGATCTCTGAGTGAATTGTGATTGTGTACTGATAGAAGCTTATGTCTATAGAATTTCTGCTTCCTTTCTTAGAATGAACTTAGAGTGACATGTACTGATGAAAGCTGGGGAGATGTCCTGTAGCTGTGTTCTGGCCACACTTGTTCTACAGTTCCCATACAGTACAATCATATCACTTAAATATAATTTTCACAGGCAATCAGACTTTTTTTTTTAATGACCATCTGGGATATGTAAATCTGATTAGCAGCTACAAATGTAGCCTATGGAAGCAATGTTTTGAATATGCGAAGAGGTAGAAAATGGAGGGAAACTCTGCAAAGTCAAGTTTTAACTGTGCTAAAACCCCCTGTATTTTTAATTCTTAATCTCCTGGCCTGAGTTTTCTATTGCATAGGTGAAAAAAATAATACTGTGTCTCTGGGATGCTGTAAAACTAAATTAATGCAATCAAATGTATTATGAAGGTTACTGTAGAAAACTATTATTTAAAAATGGAATCATACTTCCCATCAGGGATTTTGACTAATGAGCAATGGGATAAGATGTGTAGACTCACAAAGAGCAGAGAAAAAAAAAGAACATAGGATGATGACTGATCTTTGTCAGCAGTATTAACTTGCATGAGGCTAGTGAAAAAAAATATGGGCTTTCTGAGGATAAACCACAGTAGAAGAACCTACCCACACCAAAGAGCTGGATTAGGGTTGCATGAAAAACATTGCTTCTACTACTTCCCAATATGGGGTATTTGCTTTTCAAAACTAAAGCTAATTTTCCTGTGTAAATTGTAAGGAAATAACATAGTACTCATAACTGTGGTTTTTACCATATATTAATGGAACACACATGATAAAGGAATGATGAACGAGCAGAGTAAAACTGAGTGTGTCTAGTAATTCTTAAAATCCTGTGAAAATACATGTTATGTCTGCTAACAAACCCAGTAATTTTTCCTGTGAAGAGCCACATTAAATACGAACTTATTCAGTGTATAGAAAAGGGCCCAGATATGGTTGCAGCTTATTGCAACCTTACTGCAGATGTAGCAGTCCCCACACTCAATTTAGGAGCTTGTCATCAAGACAAATTTAGTTTTAGCCTTGAGTGTAGTTCATTAATTATTTTGGAAACCTACAAGCCATTTTGCTGCATCCAGTAATGTCATTCTTTCTCCTGGCATCAGAGTCTAATGCATAAATTTACAAAATGTAGAGGATAGAGTGAAGATGGTAGTAGTATCCTAGGTTATTTTTTCACTTGTAATTCAAGAAGTAGTCCTCCACAGTCTTCTGTAGCAGACACGAAGTAACACCGTGGGGGTCAGGAGAAGATGCATGGGTTTAGGTAATGAGATTGTGTCTATGTTGAGGGAATATTAATGGTCCTCAGAGAATGTCTCTCCCATTCAAGGGTAGAATTGTTTCCTTATACTACTACACTTCAGTTATTTCCCCTATCCATGATGCTATTTAGAGAAGTAACGACATTTCAAAATTCTTCAGATCAAAAATTAATTCTTATTCTTAGTCATGGAGCTAGGTATATAATAAGCTTGTATGTATTGTACACACACCCAAATTATACTGCTTTAACATTCAGTTTAAAGAAAGTAGGAAAATTTCCACAGGAAAAAATGTTTATTTTGGTGTGCATTGTTTTTGTATGGTTTAGTATAAACTTGACACCACGTCAATTGTCTCAGTTTACTGTTATAATGGAACTTCAAAAAGGGGGGAAAATAGCCCACAAATACCAGACTCGGAAATGTCATAAAATTTGCCCTATAAAATGTGACTAGCTAGCCCAGTGAAACCATCAGTGGAGGGAGTAGGCACATGGATTGGCAGCAGGCATTCTTGAATTAGGTGTGCAGCAGGCTGAACTAGGACTTTGAATGCTGCTACAGGTGGTAAAGTTGCAACAGTGGACGAAAAGTCTCCAAGTGAGCTAGTGTAGACTTTGCTTAAGAATCATTAACTAAATCCCTGTTTCTTTTCGTGGGAGCTTCAGCTAGTCACGTGACCTGATGTAAAACAAGATCGTTACCTATCAGTGCAAACATATGGCAAAGTCTGCCCGTGTTATTACTTATCTCAAAGAGCGCAAGGGGGCTGTGACATTTCAGGCAAAGCCTATTGGTGAGGGAGTTTCTATGTGAGCTTTCTTAAAGAAGCGCTTCCTTTTTAATCATAATACTGCGTGGGAAAGTATATCAAACATTTTTGTCTTAAGAGACCAGAAGATTTACATAATTCTGCTTCTACGGAAAGAGAAGAAATGCTGATACAACATTCTGTTATGGCTGTAAGCTTTGCATTTACTTGTACTGTGGAAAGTTAGTTTCCTGTTTTCTGAGATGCATTTCTCAGAAAAGGATGGTTTTGAAGATGACTTCAATAGAAGTGTTGCTGCCCATGAAAGGGTTTCTTCTGGAATCTTGGTGAGTTTGACAGATTTATTGCCAAGCATGGGTATATAATTTCATATAGCGTAGTTAAAATATGTAAAAACTGACTGCCTATATTTAATAGTAAATGGAAGACTTTAATTAGGCATTCAACAGACTTACTTTGTTTCCCATTTTTGTTCCATAAGTGCTCTGTGCAGTACTAGAAGCAATCCTAAACCCCAATTAATATCTCTACTTAGGAGCAAAGGTGTTTCTGTTTGCTTGTTTTTACCAAGTAAACCTGATGCTGTAGTGGTCCTGTTTCACATAGTCATTTTTTTGCCCCCCAGTCTTTTCAGGTTACAGAATAGAAGCTAGTAAAACACTTGCTAAAGATTTTCTCTGGTTAAGGAAATGTCCTACCTCATAAATATATATATATATATATATATACACACACAAATATAGGCAAGATGAGATAAATTGAGGGAAACCATTACTATGCATATTTTTAATTTTGTTTTTCTACCTAATCTCTTGAAACAAATGCAACTTCTTTACTGTTTACATCATGTGGCATTAGACTATCTTCGAATCCTCTAAATGTATCTCAAAATAAATGACATGTATAAATATCTACTCTCTTGTAAGCTAAGATCTACATTTAAGTAACCTTTTTTTTCAGTGATAGTTAAAATTCATGCCCTCTAAAGCTGTATCTCTCTAGAACAATCTGATAGCTTGCCTTTGAGTAACTTGCAGTCTTTCTGTTGTTGAACTGGGCATTTGTAGCATTCACGTTCATATGGGTGCATCTGTATAAAAGGTGTTGGCTTTAAGAACACAAAAAAATGCAGTTTACCTTTACTAAAGCAGTACTCCGGAAACACAGAAAACAAATTTGTGGGCAGACTTTTGATTATACCTTGCACTTGTGTATGGATATTACTGAGTAACATAAAAAAAATTGTTCAAGAAAACGTGTTGGTTTTGTAGCAGGCAAGATAACATCTTTGTTAATGGTACATAGATATAATTCCTATCCACAAAACCTCCTGCTCAAGTTGTGCTAATGTAAGCATTTCCTGGTGATGAGTTTTGAGAATTTGGCTATCTATCATGTGGAGCATGTTAGATACTTAATCTGAGCTGTAGTACTGCTTAATCATTATTTGTGAGAGCCATTCGATTCCTCATTGCTGTAACAGGAGGATGTCAGCCAACATATGCAGTGTTAATTTTAGTTTAACTGATCCGAGTATTTTATAGGTGGAGGCACAGAATTTTATTTTTAGTTCTCGAACTTCCAAAGTAGATATTTTCTTTTCTTATTTTGTATTTACTTTTATGTTCTCTCTCTCAAAAAAAGAAAAGGAAAAAAAAAAAGCACTTTCAGTTTCTGCCTTTTGCATTGTAATGGCTTCTTACCAGAAAAAAGCCTTTATGATACAGGGCAGAGAGATCTTTTCCCCCATTCCAATTACAGTTGCACTTACCTTAGTAGTATTAATATATTCAGATATAAGAATTTTTGCAAATTAGGTGATATTGCCTAAACATTCAAAAATCAGCCTTTCTGGAGCCTCAAAAGTCACAGTAAGTGTTTTTCTGCTGTGAGACCTTAGGTATTGATAGCCTTCTAATTTGCCATCCTAGAAGACTAAGTAGCAGTGAGCTACATTAACTTTAGCTTTTATGCAGAGTTCTGGAATTTGACTACATCAGGTAATGTATATATACGCTGGATATCAAAATAAATAAAACTTAAAAGCTAAACAGTATTGTGAAATATTGCTGCATTGCTCTTTCTTAGCTTGTCTTGTCCATCAGACTTCTGTCTTGAATTGCAGAACTGGAAACTGGCATGCCTTTTAGGTTCTTGTAGCAGATTATGAAGGCATACTGCTCTCCGCTTTTGTCTGCTTTCAGGACAATGACATTTAATAAATGTATACTAAGCATGAAATAGAGTGTCATTGAGGAAAAGCTTTGTCTTACTGGTTATTTTGTGATCAGGCTGTTTCGCATTTGCAAGAATTCACACAACATTTTACACTGTCCCTCTCTATAGTCAGATCTGGTACTGCTCACCACAAGTTTTCTAACAATATACAATAAAACTTAAAGGAAAAAAAAACCCACCAACCCTGGAAAATTTTAAAATCTCCTAGCTGGGGTTATATTGGCATTTGAGATACCTGAGAAACATGAGATGTTTAATTTATGTAGTGACACTTTATTTCTGGTTGATCATTTGCTTGCTACAGTTTGAACCTTCTTAAATAATATGTTTATCTTACAAAGTAAACCATTATGTTAAAAGCTGAACTACAACATGATAAGCAATAATATAAATTAGTTTCTGATCTACAATTTTGTTTACTTACAATGTACAAAACAATGTTTGCATTAAGACTTGGATCATAAAAAGCTTCTTTCCTTGTAAACTTACTTTATTTTTAATTTTTATTTTTAATTTTCAGTAGGTTCAAAAGTTCATAACTTTCACAAGTAAGAGGTTATTCTGTTTATATATGATCATAAAAGTGGCTGTGCTGTGAGCTACAGAAATATAACTGAGATCTATGAGAGAACTTTTGCTATAGGAAGATGAGAATATATGTAAAATAGGTGAATGCTTCAGTCTTGTGGGAGTTTTGGGGGGTTATTTTCTGTGGTTAGACAGGGTCTGTTAGCATGTATGTGAGGAAAATTAAATTATTTATCAACTGAACTTAAATCTTAGCAGTTGGTGTGAAATTCTGATCCTTTAAACAGGTGTTACTTAAATGATAGATAATTCCTTGGTAATGTCCACTTCTCAAGTCCTATTCACTGAAATGAAATATATGGAACGGAGACTCTATTAAGGACTTCTATTCCTGATTGTGCCAAACATTTCTTTTAACAGATTCAGTCTCCTTGGTGACATGAAATCAACTTTTCTTTGTAAACCAATACTATAGACTCCTCTTGGAAGCAGCCAATGTATAACCATGAATGACAATGACTATGTGTTAGAGAATTTTTCCTAAGATAAAAATAAAGAATAAAGATTGACTGTCATTGTAGGGGGAGACTAATTGCTTGAACAGTAAAGCAGAGATATTGCTACCTTTCTGTCTTGGGTTACAGTTCCATGAGATGCAGCAAGTAGCTCACTTGTCAAAAGATGTTCAGTTCCCTGCCCTAGCCTTTTTCTTCTAGTTCTGTGGTGCTGCTGTGTGCCTTTGGTGTTGTCACGTTCTTCTTAGTGACCTAATCTAAACTTACTAAGCCACCGACAACAACAATGACAAAATGGGTAGACTTCTGCCAGTTGTGTCAGTGAGCTAAAATCAGCTCATTAAGAGGGTCAGATGAGGAAGGATTGAAGTGAGACCTCCCCTTTTTAGCAAGCATGAGCTATTATTTTGTTAGCAAGCAGTCAATTTTATAGTTGTACATGAAACTACTTAGAGATGAAAATGAATTTTATTAATCACTAATGTTGATAGGGAGTCCATTCTGCTGATCTCATTAGTCATTCAATGACAGTCTGTTCTTTTTGTCTTCATCAACCATATTGTACAAAAGCTACAGGAAAAAATTCTCTAGCATGTTACCTATCATAGTAATTCCATGAATAATTACAAAACAGTTCTAAATCTGGATTGGAAAACTCCCATCTTCCTTTTTAAGGATTGTGGAGAGGAAGGAATTTTTTTTTTTTTTTTTCCAAATATCTAAATATGATTAGGTAATGTATGACTTCAGAAGCCTGAGATGGAAGAAAATACTTGTAGCTGCTCTAAGTCTGTGAAAGTAGTTTTAGATTTCCTGCATGTTTATCATTATATTGATACTGTTAAATGCTACAAAAGTAGCTTCCTTCTGAATGAATGCAATATACCCTGTGTTGCTGTAAGGAAGACTTTGAAGGCTCAGAAATGATTAATTACCTAGATAATGAAAGCAGTATCAGGAGGAAGAACACTTATAGTGCAATACACTTTTGTTTAGAGGCATTAAGAAAAATCCTAAACCTTGTTCAGAGGCTAATAAAAATAGATTAACAAATAGACAAAGAAATTCACTGTAGACTTTTTTTTGTAGATGTATCCCAAAATAGAATTTTTACAATTTAAGCTCTGTTATGTGTTCAGTGTTATGTGTTTTGCTTGTTTGTAGTGGCTCTTTGTTCTCCCAAATACTACCTTTAGCTTCAGAGACATGCAATTGCTTGGATATTTTTGAAATGAGCTTGTAGCAGTCTTTTGGGTGGGAGGCGGGAGAGGGCAGAATGAGGAAGGATTGCACTTAGGTTTCCATTAGAACACCTTGACGGTTTTCCCTCTTCTTTCTATTAAAGCTCAGATGTTTTGAGAAATCTGTGGACTTCATTTCTTATTGGCAGTCATAGCTCACATTGCATTCTTAGTCTGAAAGATTTGCAGTCATTCAAAATTCATTCATTCGCGTAAGTTTTTTTAATGGATTAGACAGAATGTTTGATAAGTGATTCTATGTGTTCTTTGTTTATCTTGTTTGACTATAGCATGATCTTATTGTGTGCATCTTCCTTCCCTTGTATTCTGTCCTGAACTCCCCACTCTCATCTAGTAAGATTCTTTTGCCTAGGCTACATATTGTTCTTTTTCAATTTTCTGATGTCAGGAGTATGAACAACCACAAAAAACTGCAAAAGATTTGTTTCTCTTAACTGAAACTTTGTGAAACCTGTGGAAAGTAGTTAGTGGGCAAGATAACTCTCTACAGTTAAAATAATATATTGCATGAGTGTGTAAACCTGGCTAAGACTTGCTTTTCACATATGTAAATGTAGTATTTGGAATTTAGTGTTTATTCTTTAGGTGTAATTTCTGTGGAAATAAGGATTGTTAGCTGGTAAGTCATCTGCTTCTCATGGGTGAGAAGTGTGTTTAGACAAGGTCATGTTGCTAGGTTCACTGTGATTTCACAGACCAAACTTCACTGCAGCAGCTTTTGTAAATATAGGTACCTACAAGCTTCACTAAGCTGTTTAGAGAAGTAAATATTGCAACTATAGATGATACTTATTGTAGTTTTATTTAATCAAAAGCTAGTGGGAGTGTCTTGGTAACTTTTAGTACCTGGCATCACCTACCATAGGTGGAAGTCTTGCTCATCTCAGTTTTAACTTCTGAAGGTCAATAGCAGTGCTTTTTCAAGAAGGGTTTTTACAAGCTCATGATTTTTATGCTGCAGTAGGTTTGTTTTAGTACTTGTTTCACGGCAAATAAATTCACTGGTGTTTTGCTTTCCTTATATAGGAGGACAACTGGGTTTCTTCCATATTTGTTTTCTCCACACTCATTCTCAAACTCCTCTGTCTCCCATTAGAACTTTTGATGATTTCTTTAGGGTGACTCAGCCTCTTTTAAAATATAGAGCTGTAAAGGGAGAGTTACATGTAGTACACCCTACATAACTTTTCCTGACTTCTAAGGGGTTTTTTGCATCCTTACGTATAGTTATCTCCATTTTCAATAGAGGATCAGTTGTATTAAATAAGCAATCTTTAGAGAATTAATTTGTCTTTTTAGCTTGTCTGTGTAATTAAGCATCACTTGAATCTAGGTTTTGGGGTTAAAGTAAATTTTGAAGCATTTAATTTTTAAAAATATTTAAATAATCATAGATTCAACTTGATAAACTATTAAGAATATGTTTTATAACTCTGGAGACTTAGTAATATAAGAACTGACTTAAAATTCTGTTGACTCTTCAAGGCATTTGTGTAAAGCTTGTTACAGTAGTCAGAGTAATTGGTAAATGATATTACACATCTATTTAGATGTTTTTAAAAAAAAATTAAAATTTTTTTTACATTTTAAAAATTCATTTACTTTTTTTTTTTCTTCCCCTCCCTTAGTCTCAGACTATGAACTACGTAGGACAACTTGCAGGACAAGTCCTGGTAACTGTGAAGGAGCTGTACAAAGGCATTAATCAGGCAACCCTTTCAGGATGCATTGATGTCATTGTGGTCCGGCAACAGGATGGTACATACCAGTGTTCTCCTTTTCATGTCCGATTTGGGAAGCTTGGTGTATTGCGCTCTAAAGAAAAAGTGGTAAGTTCAGAAAGTGGGCCAAAACAAAGTTTTGAATACCAATGCATTCCCTTTTTTCCTCTCTTCCTTCCCCAGCCCCCCACATATGCAGTTAGCAGGCTGATTTAGTACAGAGCAGTTTCTCATATATGCTGTACAGAGCAATAGTTTTGGAATGCAAAACAGAACTTCCTGTGGTAATCTAAGGACTCTGCAAAAAAATACTGTGAAAGAAAAGCTTTGACAGCTCTTGAGCTACGCAAAAAGAATAATACAAACATATAGACTTCACAGTCTTAAAATGTTTACATGGCTATTTATTTACTTATTTAATTATGCTTGGAAAGAAATGCTTAATGCCATTTAACTGATCCCTGATGTTGCAAGCAGCTGTTTTTGGAATGTCTGGAGGACAAATAGAGCATGTCTTAAGGGCTGGTGACGTATCATAAATATTACTCCTTGTTAGCTCTGTTCAAGGCTGATATGCAGTAGAAAATGCAGTTGTTAATATCCATAAGCAATAAAAACTGGGACTGAAGCTTCATTCCTATGTGGGCATATTTGAAAGAGAACCTGGTACAATTCCCCGTCCAGCCAGTCTGAGACTGTGGCACTACCTGAGCAGGTTGTCCTGCCATACCTTTTCCATAGGCTTTAGTAATCATGCCTAGGGAGTAGGTTGGATTGAATTGTAATTTGACTGAAAAATGGACCTATTGTGGGGGACTTTACAGTACTCTCTACTGACAGTAATGTATATGGCAGTATTGCCTGTGGGTGGGTCTTCCCCCAAAAGATGGATTGATTTAAACAGATCATAAAACCTCAGGATTATATGCTGCTTTTCTAATAAGTGAAAGGTCACTGCAGAGAAACTAACCCCCATCTTTATTCTCTTTTTACAACCAAGATATAAAGTGCAACTAAAAGAGCAGTTATGTTAGGCCATTTATTTGTTAACGGTCCATACTAGTAGTTACATGCATTAAAGTTTTAAGTTTATCATAGTAACACAGACTAGCAGCAGTTTCTCTGTTTAATTTTTTTGTTTTGATTTCCCACTTGCCAGTGTTTTTCTTAATGAGCACGCTGATGACAAAAAGTTGATTTTCCTTAACAGTTCTGCAACAGATTACGTTACAGTTTTTCAGCAAGGTACAAGAGAGGTGGTATAGCTGTACTTTTTCTAATGTCTAAGCAAGTGAGATACAACAGGAGTGATCTGAAACTTGAGCTTGCTAAATGTCTTTACAATTCTGAGAAGCTGAACCAAATTTTAGAGGATTTCAGCTTCTGGGTACCTCTAGATAGCTGTTGAACAGTAGAAACATCTACTTTAGGTACCTGCTGTACTAGGCTATCAGCATAGTTCTCAGCTTTTGCTTGAGTGGATGGCTGCTGCTTCTTGCTTCCTTCATCCTTGGAGTTACCATTCTGCATTTGAGTGTTTTCTGAATTGTCAGTTGAATGTTTATTACTGCGTTGTGTACGCATTTTTCTCTGGCATGTTATGAGGCTAAGATCAATTGGTAGTCTCAAGATGTATGGGAACACAAAATAGGCATATCTGTGCTTTACTTCTATGCTTAAGATATATACTGAAGTCTCCAGAAACCAGCATGAGGTATAGGAACTAAAATTAGGGATGTTTGTCTGTCTAAATCTGTATAAAGTAAAGGTTGAAAAAAAGAAACACTAAGGTTTGGGGTTTTTTTAACTCATGTTACTGAATTGGAAATTCAAGAAAATATTGTAAGAAAAAACTGTGTTCAGTAGCAAAATAAATATGATTTTCAGATCAAAGCCATTCAGTTCTTGTGGGGGAAAAATAAAAGCTGTTATCTTAAGGGTATGGGTATAGTCCCCATGCATGTTTCATTATCTTACCTGTAATTTGTCATCTCCTATGATTGGGTTTCCTTGGCTAATGGTTTTATTCTCATAAATGGGCAAATAATGGAGTGGACTAGGATACATGCATACTGTCTGTCTTAGCACTGTGATGGTGGTGGGTTTTTTTTTTCTTGGCAGTCCATGTGCAAATCTTAAAATTAGTCCTCTTTCCTTTTTGACTGGCCATTTCATATCATGATAACTAACTGAATATGAGTATTCATGTCACAATACTAGCTGTATGGCTTGGGGTGTAATTTTTTCTTTTGTATTGGCAGGAAACTAGAACTTGAGTAATGTACATACTGGATATCTCATAGCAATTACAGTATTTAACTTGGTCTCTTTTTGACAAAAGTGTCTAAACTATATATAACCTGAAATGCCATTGGCATTTTCTGCAGTAAGACAAGTCCATTGCATTTCTCTCTGACATGTATTAAATTATTTTTAATTACCTAGGCTAAATGCAGATATACACATACCCTTAGATAAGCAGATTTACTGAAAAATAAGGTAATTTTATCTGAATATTGAACACACTTTGTTTGGAAAAATGTTGAATAGAACTTAACTGGATGCGCAAGATTTCACAAAGAGGAGGAACTAAAACAGTTGTATCTTGGTTTCAGAAGAACATTTGTTTTTTTCTTTTATTTCATACATGTGGGGAATGGTAATCTCTCCTGTGCAATGTAATCTAAGTTAAAGTACCTTTTTATGAGTATAAAAACATTCTTCCTCTGACAAAAGCACTATGGTTGCAGAAAGATTGTGGTCCCATAAACTTATAAGCAGGAAAATCTGAAACAATGTTAACTGAGTTGCATAAATAATCGTGGCAAATCTCTATCCCTTTGAAACAAAGCCTGCCTCCAGGAGGCTTCCAGTTTGTTGTCTTGAACTTTTGGTATTCAGGACTCAGATTCATATCAGGCCCCAATTCAGGTTGAGCTTTAAACATATGAACATGAACAGTCTCAATTATTCTTCCAGGAAATAAAGACTAGATCAATGATTATTATTTATGCTTCTAGCTCTCCAAATTAGTTGAACAAGATTCAGTCTTCAGATGTTTAGGATTTTTTTTTCCAATTTTTCTTTTAGGTGTTAGGCTAGGCACATGAAGTATTTTGCAGGTTAACAAAATAAAGACCATTATTGTAACAGACTTCTTTCAAAAAGCAGATGGAGGAGAAAGAGACATGATTATACAATGGAACAAAGTTTACTGTCAGAGCTAAATGGGCCTTGAGGTCAGTGCTTTGCCCTGTGATGAATAATTTACATTAAATCATCTCTTTCCACAGATTGATATAGAAATTAATGGTGATGCTGTTGATCTTCATATGAAACTGGGTGACAATGGAGAAGCTTTCTTTGTGCAAGAAACTGAGGAGGAAAATGTAAGTGCTTTGTCCTTCATGATTGCTACAATGCAGTATTAACAGAGTAATGTGTTAAAAATGCTTAATATAGTGTTGTCGATATTGTAGCTTTCATAAAAGTTACATTTTCTATGACTGAATCTTAACATCACTCATGCTTCCGGGTTGCTTGGTGCTTTGTATGATTCTGCTACCAGTGATAATAAAGTTAACTTTTTTTTTATTAGAGCATTATTTGAAAGATTTGTTGAATTTATTTTTTTTACTTTGTTTTAATATATTCATTATTGTTGATTGCAGTGCCTTATAATAATTTTTGCCTGAAGTTGTTATAGCTTGTGCTACTGAACTCTGTACTAATAATGGTTGTCTATTTTGGCATATTTTTAATTTGTCTTATTTTTAGCACAGTTTTTCATGATTTTATCTATGAAACTTTGACCAGTTAACAGTAACTTCTTCAACTTGAGAATTCTTCTTGTATTATCATACAGTAATTAATTTCCCAAGAACCTATTGCAGCTGGAAGCTAATGGGCCTCTGAAAAGCAGGAATAATGGTTCATTTTTAGCGTGATTTCCTAAGGATATGGGAGCTATTTAATCACAATATTTATCAGTCCTGAGCTTTGGTTTTGATCACTTTTGAATCTGTTGGCATTTTTCAGCAAGACAGAAGGAAAGAAGATCTAAATACAAAGTTCCAAAAGGTTTAATGAAAATAGTTGGTTAGAGGAGAGAGAAAAAAATTTTGTCTTGGTGAAGTAAAAGATGAAGTGTTAATTTTCTGTTGTTATTAGGAATCAGAGTCTTTCAAGGAAATAAGCTTGATCTACTTTTTAGTTTAGGGTGCTACTTGTTTACTGTGAGGAATTGGAGGAAGCTCTCATTTTGAAAGGAGTTAAATATAATTTAAAGTGGAGGGAGTAAATAAGCATTAAGACCCTAAACAATAACTTGGGGTAAGGATTCATAACATTTAAGAGAAAGGAAGGCTGGGTTCTGTTTTAGCATACATCACGATTAAAATCAAAGCTGGAAGCAGTTTTTTATAGATATAGGCTGTGTCAGCCATTGATGGGAACTGATCAGTCTTAAGACTTTCAGAAAGCAAGGGTGATAACTGCTACCTTTGTCCCCAGTACAATGTTTTAAAGGAGCTATTGCACTTGCTTAGTATATTTTAACTTATAACAAGAGTGCTTCATCTGTATAATGTGTTCCAGAAAGCTGGTAGTTCATGACAAAACTATAGATCAAGTTAGCTACAAAGCAGAGGACTGAGTTGTTTTTACTACTTTTAGACATTTTTTTTCTTAGTATTTCTGCTACGGATCAGTGTGTCCTTGTGGTCACCTCTTGAAGCTATGCTTAAGGTATAAACGATAAAGCTCTCATGGAGTTCTCAATGGATTCAGAAAGTTTCTTTCAAGTGGTCAGTCTTTGCTGTTTTCACATCTTGACATTCAGAAGTAACACCAGACGCCTCAATTCACATAAATCAGGACTATTACAATGTAACTTTCAGGCATCATTTTTCGGCCAGTTTTCTTTCAACTTTTCCTCTATTTTTTTTTTCTTCTTCTTATTCTGGATTATTTATCACTAATTGTACAGAATATTAACTTTATTTTAGGTGCTGTCATTTTATTCGGAGGTTTTTCACAATGCAAAATCTCTGTGTCATTAGTGCTGTATAAGGCTGTATTTTGTTCTCCTTTCTCCACTTCTCTCTACTTTACAACCAGTGGTCTGTAACTCTTAACTCAATGGAAAAATTGAATTTAATATTAAATAATAGCAGTTCAGACTGTGAACACATCAGAAGTAGTATCAGTGGTCCGGCTGTTTCTTACCACAGTGTAGTTCCTGACTAACCTTCTGCATAAAAGTCCTGTAAAATAGCAGGCATCTTGTAATTAGTTCTATTCTTACCATGAAATTGAGCTCCATAACTTTTTCTCTTTCTCCTCACTATGCAAATTCCATTCTCTTTTTGTTCCACTTTGTCCCTTCACAGTGTGTTTCTTTCAGTCTAGGTGTCAGTATCTTTAATTTCTTGTTATGATGTAAATAAACCACAGGCAGTCCATTGGTAAAACTTTTCATTCATTTGAATTGTGAATTGTTCCTTCAAAGGCCAGTGAGTTGTAACTAACTGAGGGTTGGTTTTTTGTTGGTTTTAACGCGAGTAAATTATAGTTGAGTTTTTCTTTTTGAAAGATACTTTACATAAATAGTGTCTGACATGGATGACAAGACTGAATGCACCTTTACCAATTTTGTGGGTAACACTGAACTCAGAGGAGATGTAGACAGGCCAGAAAAAGAGCCACCATGTAGATCCAACTTGGCAGGCTGGGAGACTGGACCAACAAGATTCACGTGTATCTTGGTTAAACCTTGTGTGAAGTCTGCATCTGGGTTGGGAGAATCCCACACAGCAGTACAGGCTGGGATCTCACTGAATGAAACCCATGTCTGCTGTAAAGGCTGGCAGTGTGCCCTGGCAGCAATGAAGGCAAATGTGTCATAGGCTGCATCATCAGAAATACAGCCAGCGGATGGAGGGTTATGGGATTGTCCCACTCAACCTAGTATATGTTAGGCCAAACCTGGAACACAGTTCTGGTCTACTAAGTTTTGGTCTTCCCAGTTCAGGAGAGATATGGAAAATTGGAGGCAGTCTAGTTGAGGGCCACTAAGATGATCAGAAGTTTGGTGAAGTTGAAATAGGAAGAAAGGTTGCTGGACTTGGCTGTGTTTGGCCTAGAGAAGAGAAGACTCAGGGGGATCTAACTACAGTCTTGCAATACCTACAAGGTAGTTATAGAGCAGACTGAGGCACTCTCTTCACAAGGATGCCTGATGATAAGACAAAGGGCAAAGGGCATTAGGGGGACATTCCAGCTGGATATAAGAAAAATCCTTCACTATGAGAACAGTATAACACAGGAATATGTTGCCTAGAGAAGAGGTAGACTCTCCCTCACTGGGAATACTCAATATTTGGCTTGACAAGGCCCTGGATAACCTAACCTCAGGCCCTACTTTCAACAGAAGACTGGACCAGATGATCTCCAGATGTCCCTTCCAATCTACACCTTTCTATGAATCTGTTTCAAAATAAATAGCAGTGGATTTAAGTAGCCTATTTTTATTAACACATTTACTAAGCATGGATAGAACTGGTGTGCTCAAGGGCAGCTAATTTCAAAAACATTCCACTGACTGGGTATTTGTTTTGCTAGCAAAATCAGTTGTTTGTATCTGAAACTGTAGGTATACTAACATTCATTTTTCTGAACTATTTGTGATCCCTCTAGTGAACTTGGTTGCTTTCTGGATATCAGCTTCAATACCACTGGGCTATTGTATGGTTTTTGTCTAAATACAGATGCAAGGATTAATCTGTAGCTGACAACTATCCTGTGTGCACAAAACAAAGTAAAAAAAATAGTCTGTCTTTATTTTCTTTTTTTGCTTAGGAAAAAGTTCCTGCATATTTGGCAACATCTCCAATACCCACTGAAGACCAGTTTTTTAAAGACACTGACAATCATTTGAAATCAGGTGAAAATGAGAGGACATGTGCAAACTCAGAAATTCCACAGTCTGTGGAAACAGAGACTGTATTCACTCCAGGTTCTGTGAAAAAGAAAAAAAGAAGAAGAAAGAAATATAAACAAGATAGCAGGAAGGAAGATCAGATCTCTTCTACTGGGACAGAAGAGATTTTTGAAATGGAAATAAGCTCAGATGATGAAAAAACTGTTCAACCCCTAAGGTAAACTATCAGATACTTGCTGACTGCTTTCACTGTTATCACTGAACATTTAAAAGGTGACTGGTACCTTTCTTCTATGCAAGTAATGCATAAGTTTCAATAGGCTCTGGGTAGGCTTTTGCTCAAACAAACAAAACTCCAAACCATTGCCTTCCACATCTTTAGAGAATCCTTCAAGTTTGACTATTTTGTTATGAACATGAAATCCAATTAAGCCCATTCTGGTCAAGAAGTGTTGTCATGATCTATTGTGTGACTGAGAAAAAGTTTTGGTGTAGTTGCTCTGATAAGGCAGAGTGGTCTTCTGGTGTGTTTGGTAACCTCTACACAAACTGCAGTGTGGAATGCCTGTAGTATACCACATCTGAATTTGACTTCTCTGTAACTTGAAGTTTACTTTGGTAACTGAAAACTACATAAATGAATGCTCCTTCACATTAGTAAAGAGAATTCTTTACGTGTGTGTAGTCATAAAGGAGAAAAAAAATCAGTCCTGTATTTTGAAGTGGATAAACTATTAGTAAAGTCGAGCTTGCAGTAAAGTGGTAGCACATACTAATAAGATGAAGAAGTTTGTATGAGTAATAGGAAAGATTATAGTAATAGAAGAAAGCTATCAAGCATATAAATGCTTAAAATCCAGGAAAGGCCTAATCATCAGTTTTATGTGGAAGTTTCTTAGGCTGCTTAACAAAAGAAGTGGACTTAGTTTTTAAACAAAGCAGGCTGCTTTATTGGACAGCATTACTGTTAAATGTAGTACTGTCTGAATAAATTCAAGATCTGGTCTGGGAATTGGAAGAATGTTTTGGTATAAGAGAGTAAACTATAACTGAAAAAACTCCTTCGGTATGGGTCTTCAAGGGAGGCTCAAATTTAATAAATACCAGTCAAAAAAAGGTTAGTGCAACAGAAAAACATGAATCTAACTGTTATCACACCTATGACCAATAAAACAGAACAAACAAAATTTGGATTTTAAAGTGTTTTCTAGAATGTCGGTGGCTTTCTTAGTTAATTTGCCTTATTTTTTTCACTGTCATATTTATGTCAGTGAGTTGTCATTTAGATACTCGCTTATCTGTTTAAGTCTGGGAATCGGTATTTTTTTTGGTTTGAGATTTTTCCTTTTCTCCTTTTTTCCAGTTTAATAAAAGCAAGATCTTTATTCAGTCTTCAGTGTGAGAGTATTAAGACAACAATAACTTGTCATAGTGAAACCGTCAAAAATAAAAATGACCATCAAGTACAGGAAGGAAGAAAATACAACCCATGAATTGTTTATTCTTTATTTAATAAATTATTACAAATGTATGAAGAATTTAGGAAATAATGGCTGTTTTCATCCAGTGTTTAGAATTCAAATTGCTATTCTAGCAAGTATCTTAATTTGACTAGAGATGAATAAAAAAATTGTAGGTTTGACTGAAATGTCAAATGTTTAGTCACAGCTGAACATGGTGTTTCCATAAAGGTTATGCTGGTTTTATTTTTTGTACCCTTTAGAATGAAAGATTGAAAAAGCTTTTTATTTATAAACCACATTTTTTTACATATCAGAAACAGCAGTAGAAATGCATTCTCAGTCAGAGAAGAATGTTACGATGTGAAAGGAAGAAGATTTTGTAAAAGAATGCTGTTTTCTTGTGAATAGTAAGTAAATGCAGGACTGGAAAAATACATTGTAGTAATGGAAGCCCAGAGACAGTAGGTTTGTGGCTATGTATCTGTTAGTAGAGTTCATATACAGTCATTCCAGTGGGCTATCAGGGCAGGAAATAAAATGCTTTGCAATAGGCATACACTGTCTTCTTCCCAGCTAAAGATACAGCTGTGGAAAAAAAGTTCATAAGCTTTCTTTTCACATCCTATGGGGATGTAAGTTGATATCAGCAGGTTTGCTTTGATTTGGGTTTGATTTTTTTTTTTTCAGTTATAAATGTGTGGCTCTGAAAAAGAAAAAAAAAGAAATAGAAACTTAACTAACTGTTATTAGACATAACATCAGATTTCAAACTGAAACTGGAAAAGGAAAAGGGAGGCTGATGTTCCAACAGGAAGGTCAAAAATTCAGCCACAGGTACCAGTATGTAATGTCTTATCTAGTTCTATTCTTATAAAGTGGAAAACAAGCTGTTTCCTTTTCCTTGGGAAAATGCATTTCCAAGTGTTTATGCAACTTTTAAAAAAATATGTCCTTTGTCTTTTCTAGTTATTATTTAGATATGTTAGTAGTACTTGACTTACCTAAAATAAGACCAGGAGGACTGAGATTACAGTGTATACAGCTCAGAAATAGAGGGCATTATTTCTCCAGGGCTATGGGTGTTAAAGAGTTAAAGTAGTTATCTGTCTCTAAAATCTTATATATTTATTTACACCATGTATAAAGTGGTTAGGGATGAGAAGAAGTGGTAGCACTTATAAAAGTTGCAAAATAAATAGCTTAGAATTGATAGTGCAACTCAAAGTTATAAGTTGATGCACACTGATTTTTCCCCCCTTATTTTCAATAATCTTTGACTGCATTTGGATTTTTAACCTTCAGATTTATCCACTTATGGATGAAATTTGATTTTTTTTTTTGATGCCTCATATGAACTCATTTGGTCACTAATTCCCAGTGAATAAAATCTGTTCAGTACCACTTGTGTGTCATCTTGCCCGCCCTCTCATAATATTGAGGACCTCTCTGTAATAATTTGTTTTATGTATTTACTTAATTGTTCAGTAATACCTTTTCCTTTTTTGGAGATACTTAGCACTGCATACAGAAAAAGATAGTATGAAACACATTTCTGTCACAGTTAGCTTTGGTTTATGAATACAAAGGATGTACAGTCTCTGCAGCTCTCAAGTCAAGCTGTCATCATCAAGTTTCATAAGAATACTACTACTGAATAAGAAGTGGAGCTATTACATTTTTAGAGTTCAGTATTTAACATAGTCTAGACTGTCTTCCAAATGAAAGACTTGTGCAAATGAGGTAGACTACTGTGACTGCTTAGGGTCTAATGGGCAGTACTGAGTAAGTAAATTCAAAATATTTATGTATTTTAATAGATAATGTTAAAATCTTTTCTTTTCTTCATCCATAAGAGAAATTAGTGTTAGCATTCCAAAACAAGTCTAGTGCAACCATGCTGGTAGTGGAGGAAAAATACTTTTTCTTTTTTCTTTCATAATAATGGCTTAAATAATTTGTATTGCATTTTACACTCAAATTCCAGGCTTATCTTCCTTGTATTATCTCCACTGTACGGCCATGATGCCCTTCATCTAACCTCAAAACAAGTTAGTTGTATCCTGAGAATAGCTATTTATTCAACTAAATTCAGAAAGCTGTAAAAAGATCTGAAGAACTTATGATGGTAATATTTAAAAGGAACTTCTGTGTAAAATACAGTGCATGCCAGCTCAATGGGTCTTACTGTTACTTGGCCTTTTTTTCTGTTGTAGATATTGAGTAGACTTCCCAGTGCAAAACAAACCCTACTGTTCAGAAAAGTACACTACTTCTAGCTACTTGTAGTTTATGTTGATTTGTAAACTTGGTTAAATTGTAAGCCTAATACCTACCCCTGTTTTCTTACTGGTTTTAATTTGTGAAATGTGCAGTCATGAAGTGTGTTGTCAAAACTATCTTTTCTGTTTAACTTTTCCAGTCATTCTAAGGTTTACATAGTAAAGGTTATGTGTAAATCTTTATGTTCATCTTTGGGTTTTGGTAATATTAGCTGGCGGTATAGAGTAACATCATTTATGCTATTGTGACTTCTTCAATATTAAGTTACTATGTGTCAATAGTAGTAGATTTTTAAACTTGCAATATTTCCAAGTATTAATAATAGTTTTATATATGTTTTAAGTTGTATAAAGGTGCGTTGCAAACAATGAATTCTTTAAGCTATGCACACCTTTCTTTTGATCTTGGATTTTTAATAACTTATAAGTAACTTTTCTAACTGAATTAGTAATGCAGATTTCTTATAGCTGACTTAATGTCTTATGTATCTCCACAGAGGATCCTCAAATTCATCACCAAAGGGTGAAGAACAAAAAGAATCTTTGATTTATCACTCAAAGGATCATTACCCTTTATCTGATGGAGACTGGTCCCCTCTGGAGAAGTAAGTCACCTTGTAATGTCATCATAAATATAATGATGAATAATTATGAAAAAAATTAATGTGCCTTTTTATTAATTTTCCCCCCTGATCTGAACAACTATCAAACATGCCTAACTTTTGTGATATCAAATGCAGCATTTGATACTTACTTGGAACTTTGGGAACTTTCCTCTCTACTGTATGTATTAAACAAAATTTGTGTCTTTTTTTTTTTTTTCCTTTTTTCCTCCTCAAATGGAAAAAACCAAAAAACTTTCTTATTAAAATTCACTGTTAAAGAAAGAAAATACAGTTAATAAGATTTCCTTAGGTTGAGAAGGGTATGGAAAACGAGTATGTTCCCTATGAATCACCCTAGCATACACAACATTTGATATGCCATAAAGCAGAAGTGTGGACTACGCAAGTTAGATTTTGGCAGGTGAAGTAAATGCAAATTACTTGAGGTAAAGCTAGGTCCTAAACTTGAATCATATTCCACTTCAGAACAGAGGATTTGCTAGTTACTGGAGTGTCAGTAGATTGTGGATTTTTACAAATGGCATAATACAGCTCGCCAGTCAGTTTTCAGTTCCAGCAACTAGGGCACTTCTGTTTATGCATTCAAGTTCTTCAGTTTCTGATGTTCATGCTATTATATTCTTTTTGCATTCAGTTTCTAGATTTTTTCAAGGGTCACCCTTTGGATTTCACCACTTCAACATCAATCTCTATTTGCATAAGAAAGCATTCTGTCCATATGCAGTAGTGCTTGAGGTAAATTTTGTACTTTTCCTGAACATTGGACATAGGGAAGGGCATATATATATATATATAGCACATAGCATGCTGAGCAGTATCTTGATTCATCTTAACTCTTTGGTGAGTATCTAGTTTTACTGCTTTACGGTTTGACTGAGGAATCTGGCTCATAGCAGATACATTCACAGTGTCATTGAGGATTACTGGTCAGCCTTGTGTGATAGCCATTGTTGCATGTTAGCTGCTCAGCGCACAGGTGCCTGTTCTTCTGTATCAATAGGCGGTAGGGCGGAATAGAAGAGATTAAGCTTCAGAAAATAGTTTTTGAAGTGCATATAATCTCTGATTTGGGTATTTCTAGGGCTGTGGCCTCAGAGTCTGAATGTACCACACCATGCTTGGTGCCTGCTAATTCTCCCAGTGCATAGCTTGTTAATGAACAGAAGCAGTTGGACAGGATATCCCATTATCGTTCCTTCTTGTGTTTTGGGCTGACAACCACATCCTCAATTGTACTTGATGAAATGTACTGTTCAAATGTTCCCCAAAGGTTTGTGGTTTGCGACTGAAAAGCAGTCACAGTGTTTGACCCTCAGGATTGACACAGTATTGTATGGATTATATTACCTAGATAATTGTAGCATAGAGGCTGATATTCCTTTTCAGTTCATAAAACTCAAGCTAACATAGACTAGCAGGCTATATCTGGGAGATATGATTCGTGCCTCTCTTCTTGTTTACATATTTAGGGGACAGTCTGCAAACAACTTGTTTGTGCATCATGTAAGATACCTAGGCTGTTTATAGCTTGTTGTTGTTGTTGTTGTTTTGTTGGTTTTTTTTTAACAAGAAGCTATCCAATACAGATTGCAGTGTAACAGAGAAATGGGCAATTTTCCTTTCCCACTTTGGGGAGGGGGTTTGGGTGGGGGATTGTCTCTTGCATGAGCCATCTAGGAGAAGAGAAATTTTGCATTAAATTATTTTTCCTAAGCCACCAGAGAAAGATTCTATAATGTAGCCAGGGTACAGTGAAAGAGAAATAGGAGGTTTTAATAACCTCCTATTTGGAGATCTGGAAAAGCTAAGTGACTCTTAGTTGAGGTTGGATGTCTTGCTCTTCAGAACCCTTGCAAGGAGCTAAGGGAAGATAATAGCCTAAGTCTTTTCAATGAGGACACTTCTGGTTTTCCTACTCACTGTAATAAAACCAAAAAGCATAACCATTAACTATTTGGTACCTGATACCATAGATGTTCTTCCTGTTTTAACAAGCAATGTTAGCGTGACTAGATCACTATTACAAGCATGGGCCTTTTGACTAAAGACTTGTCCCTGAGAATGATAATGGAAAACTTATGCTTTGGGGGAAGTGGAACAGGCTTAGGTTCTCAAAGCCCTGAAGTATTCAATCTTTTGCAGGTACTACTGAATATTAAGAATTAGTCTTAGAAACAGGTTAATATGTCTGCATGGCTTCCAGTTGACTTGTGATATGGGCGGAACACATTATTTGGCACATAGGGAAAATGAGTTCATATTCTTTCTGAAAACAAATATGTACATGTATTTTCATCAACGTGTTATATTAAATAAGCCCTTCTAACAATACAGAAAATGTAATTTCTGTAGGAAATTATTGAAGGAGAACTGAGGGGGGAAATCTAAATGGTTTCCTTTGTGAGTCCGCAGGTGCTGAAGGCTGGAAATTGACAGCGAGATGATGAATCACCACTGTAAATGTCCTGCTATCTTGGATTTTGTGGTGTCAGTCAGAGTAATATGAGGGATTCTTACTGTCTGGATTATGATCTGATCTGTGTACTGTCTATTTTTACAGTCTGAATTGTGATCAGTTTAGTCTTGTATGATATTGCAAAACTCTGGCTCCACAAACCTCCAGAAAGTTTCAGATATGATACTGCATTAGATAACTAATTATTGCAGGAATTTTGTAAGGAAAAAAACCACCATAAATTAAATACCTGTAGGGGTTACTGTAAAATTTTTAGTATTAAATCACAGAGCAGCCCAAGCTGGGAGAGACCCCGAAAAATCATCCGGTCCAACCTTTCATGGGAAAGGGGAGTAGATGAGATTATCTGGCACCCTGACCAGTCACAAATTGAAAACCTCCTGTGTTGGGGGCCATGTGCCTGGGAAGGTTGTTCCAATGAATGATTATTCTCACTGCAAAAAAATTTCTTTCTTATATAAAGATGAAGCCTCTCCTGGTGCAACAAGTGCAAAGACAAGCTCGAAGACCTGCACCTGGGATGACATAACTAAAGAGCCTAGTACAAGCTTCAATCTGTGTGGATGGGGAGCAGCCATGCTGAAAGGGACCTGGGTGTCCTGGTGGACACCCAGCTGAATGTGAGTCAGCAGAGCACCACTGCAGCAACAAAGGCAAATCGGATCCTGGGCTGCTTCTGCAGGGGTTTTACTATCAGAGATAGAGATGTGATCATCCCTTTCTACTTAAGCACTGGTCAGGCCACAGCTGGAGTGATGTATCCAGTTCTGGTCCCTACAATTCAGATTCAAATATTGAGGTTTTTATTATGCTATGAATGTCGAAGTGTGAAAAGAGCAGCATTTCTATAATACACAATATAACTGCCCTGTTGAAGAAAGGATAGAATTGGACCTGTTCCAACACTAAATGCTACTTCAAAACAACCTCTTGTGTTTCCTTTCCTCCCTAAGATCATAAGAGCAAAATTATTTTGAAATCACACCTTTCTAGCATTTTGTAGAGTGAGGAGTTCTGGCTTAAAAGTAGTCTTGGCTAAAGTAAATTTCAGAGGTTTGTTTCTGATTGTGGATAATAACTACTGTAGGAAAAACAGGGTGGATTTTAAAAAGTCATGTAGTCCAAACACATCTAAAGGAAGTTTTCAGGTGATCTCCCTTCCCTCTCCTAAGCTATCTTGTTAATGTTGTTTTCCTCGCATCAGGAATTGGTATTGTTTTGTGCATTTGTGAGATAGGTTTGCAGGACTTTTTTTACTCCAGTCCTGGCATAGCAAGCTTAAATGCTATATTTTCACAGAGGAAAGGAACAGAACTTAAAGCTAATTTCTGTCTTACTTTTGGATAAACTTTTTTTTGTTGTTCTGTTTTGTTTGAAAATGGAACATTGGCTGAGGGGAGAGCTATACCTCTACTGCAGATATAGTGGAGGAATCTGTTTAGGGTGATCGCTATGTAAGTCCTTTAATGTGATTTTGGTTTTAACCTAATTTCTCACTGTCTGAATACACTGCTGGGCTTCTTGCCATGTTCCCAATAATTGAAGCTCTGTTAAGCTGTAGAAAACTCTACCAACAGTAGCTGCACAACAAATGCATTTTAAACACTGTAGCTTTTTTTTTTCTTTTCTTTTCTTTTTTTTATTCTTGTTGATTTGCTAGCCCTTTCTCTGAGCCAGTCTGCCCTAAAAGTGATTCGGAACTAGAAGTTAAACCTGCTGAGAGCTTGCTCAGATCTGAATCTCACATGGAATGGACATGGGGAGGATTCCCAGAATCAACCAAGGTAAATATATTGATTGTCTCTAACTTTGTGAACTGTGTTTTAGCATATCTAAAATTGTTTCCTAAGAGGGGATTGGAAATCTGCTGCGGGTCTTCAGAATACTTCAGCTGAGATAGGAAAGTAGCACCCCCTTGTGGCTAGGAGATAGTCGAATTTGTTGAGTTCAAAAGCTGGTCAGCAAAGTAATTCCAGAAAACCTAACAGTAAAAGTCTGAAATTTTTGAATTTTTAGTTAGAAGCTGAAGAAAGCAATTTAGAAATTAATTTTATTTATTTTAGGCTAAGTTCTAGTTCATTCCAGAGGAACTGTAGCCTTGATAGACTAAATTTTGTATCTAACAGGACAGCTGGTGACAGCAGCCTTGGTATGTCGAAAAATTTATGCTGTTTTTCTTTCCATAGTTTGGTCAAGTCAGCACTTCTTCTGTGCCAGTTTCTTTACTGAACTTGTAAATAAGCTAGTATGAAGTTTCTGTTGCAGGGAACTTTGCTAATAAGGTGGGACATGTTTTATGTTGCTAAAATGCATGTTTAAATTCTTACCTGGTTTACCTGTGACCAGGAGTTGTACCATCAGTACAAGTTTAATGTTTAGACCAGAATAAAACAAACTTGTGAATGGAAAGGATTGACTAGAGTTTTGTTTTTCAGATAACCAAGAAAGAGAAACTGGAACATCCCAGAACAGCTACCATTACTCCATCAGAGAAGACTCATTTTAGAGTCATCCTCAGCTCTGACGAAGTTGAAGATGATGATGATGTGAAAGATTCTGTCTGTACAGTACTGAAACCTGAACCAAGAACTCATCCTCTTCTTAAGCAGATGGATGTTAAAGATTCTCTTGCTTCTGCAATCATAGAACCACAAGATCCGTTGCCATTAGATGCTGATCATCATTCCAGACTATTGGTGGACCCTTTACCAGAAACAAAGCCAACAGCAAAAATTGACTCTCCTTCAAAAAAGAAAGGTATATAATAAAGCTGTTGATTCCTTCCTTCAGCGTGATCTACCAAATTTGAGGCCATAATGGAAAAAGTATAAATGTGCCTTTTCAATTTTTTCCTAATTAAAGTCTTCTCTGACTAAAATTATAATTAAACTCTTGGATTTATAAATGCTACAAGTAAGTCTGAATCTTCACAGTTATGTTTGTATTTAATGTGTCTGGATAGCTTCATCTTAGTAATCTAAATTGTTAAAATTAACAGGAGTGCACAAGCGAAGTCATCATCAGGGGCCTGATGATATTTACTTGGAGGACCTAAAGGCTTTGGAACCTGAAGTTGCAGCGCTCTACTTTCCCAAAAGGTAATTTTGAATTAAGGTTCCGTGGATTTTGGCTTTTGTGGAGTAATCAGTACTGATCTCATTGTGCAAATCTGTTTCTGATTTGACAAGAAACACATTGAAAGATCATGTGGGAGGTCATTACTGAGAGTTTTCATCTTTGTGGAACCTGTATGTTCTGCAAATGGGGGTGTGTGTGTATAATTTTAAGCTGCAGGCTCCTTTTGCACCAGTACTCTATTTTGCCATATTGCCAGCTCTAGATAAGCACATATCAGTTTATTTTTTTGCATGCCCTGCACGTCCCTCCCAACTTTTTTTTATTATCAAAAAAGACCAATTAAAAAAATCCCACAAGATCTTCATGCAAGGCAGCGCAGTCTCAAAATTCATTCATGTTTGTTTGGGGTTTTGGTTTTTTTTTTTTTTATGAAATCAAAGCACTTTATACTCCTAAAATACTCTCCAAAAGATTAACTGTAACCTTTGTAAAAATACAGCTTAATAAGGAGCAAGTGTCTATTGGTTTATGTTAAAATTGTAAACTTTTCAGTACTTACTGATTACATTACTTGGGATCAAACGAATAACTCTAACCTTAGATGACAATGTGATATTTCTTACTTAAAAGCCCACCTTTCTTTTCTATTATACTTTTTCCAAACACACAGTGTTCTAAAAACATCAAGCAATGTCCTTTTTCCTTTTATTCTACAGCTTTCTGGTAAAGATTGAGGAGCACAGTACTGCTCTGCAAAAATAGAATGTAGAGCATCTTTTCCTCATTTAAATCCAATTTTGTTGCCGGCAAGAGAAATGTAATTATTTCCAAATTTAGGTGAATGTTAGGAGAACTGGAAACTGTCTATCTGCCAGTATTATGAAGGATTGGGGTGTGTGTTTGTGTCTTTTTTGTTTGCTTGGTTTTAAATTTATATTGTATAATGATATAGTACTTAAATGCTATAGCAAGGTGGGTTTTCTTGAGCAATCACATAGTGTGTTCTGTAACCTAAAATCTGTACATTTTTTTGCAAGTGAAATACGAAAAAATGTGGACTTCTTTTCTTTAGTGATTCTGATCCAGGCTTCAGGCAGTGGACAGAGTCAGATACCCTTTCTGGTTCTCAGTCACCCCAGTCAGTAGGAAGTGCTGCTGCTGATAGTGGTACAGAGTGCATGTCTGATTCTGCTATGGACTTGCCTGATGTTACACTTTCACTTTGTGGAGGTCTCAACGAAAATGGAGAGATTTCTAAAGGTATGTGAAAGACTAAAACATAAACAGTAATAAAGGTCAGGCAGCTAAACAAATGAAGTGGCTTGCATACTCTGACTTCTACCTTGCAAATCTTGGCTGCTTATGCTCATATTGAGAAAAGGGAATGGATAATCTTTCATCTTCTAAAATTCCCAAGCATTTGCCAAGCAGAGATAGCAGAATTTAACCTTGAATTAATCAAGAGCACTTGATGTCTTGAGAAGCTTTCTGTCTCCTTTTTTGCACTATATATTGCATATCTGACCAACCACTCTTGTTCCTGGCTGCAGTACTTGCTTAGTCCTATATAAATCTTCAATTCATGTTCTTTCCAACTGCCTGATAATTTTTCTTCTTTTTTAGTTTTTGGGGGGGGGGGGGTTAAGCGATTAAAAAAACTTTGATTATTGTGTTGGACTATCTTTTCTCCTGCTTTATTTTTCCTATCCTAAACGTTTGTTAACCTTTTAGATTTTTATCAGCTGATTAGTCTCTCTCAATGCTCTGGTTAATTTTAATATTGAAGTTGTATGCATTTTTGAGGGAGCTTCTAGGAGCACATAATCTTCATGAACATGTACTGCAACATTTTTAGTATACTTTTTTAATGGTCATCCAGTCTATAATGCATCAAGTGAAATTTAAATGCTTATTAATAAAGGCTCAGAACAGGTCTCTTGGTAATGTGGTAGTAATATTGGATTTGATTTGAAAAAATTGTCTTCCTTGCAGGGGTCTTACACTAAATCATGAATTTCTGCAAACTTGTATAGTCACTACTCATGAAAATGAGATTAGTCAGTGAATAAACAAACCTGAAAAGCTAACGACATCCATCCACTTCCCCTTTTAGTGTAGTATGTAGGCCCCTTACCTGCCATAATAATTTTTAAAGAAAACTTGCTTAGACAAGCATGGATCTTTTTTTCCAGCCTGTGAACTGAATTAGTTCCTACCTCCTCCCTATCTTCCCTCTTCTAATTTCTTAATTCTCATTACTGTGAGTGCTGAAGTGGTACGAGGCCTTCCCTGTTACTAGGGAGGCAGTCACAAGACTCTTGACAGGTAGGCCAGATTAGCATATCTTGAGTGATGTTACAAGATCAGCAGAGACTCTGAAATGACAGAAAGCATTTTCCTAGTTACAAACTAATCAGACATCTTGGGATTTTATATTATTATTTTTAATTAAAATCTGCTTCTATTGCAGAAAAATTCATGGAACATATTATAACTTATCATGAATTTGCTGAAAACCCTGGACTCATAGACAATCCTAATTTGGTAATAAGGATTTATAACAGGTAAATTCTCTATATCATGTAATTAGGTCATAGAAGATCTCATTTAAAATCTACCCTTTAAAGTGAGTGCATTTCTTGGCTTCCATTGCAATTTGTGTTTTTCATGGATCAGTTTCTCAGTCTCAAGGAGAATGATTTTGAACTGAAGATTTGCATTAAATTTAGCTTTAACTGAAGTGAGATTTTTTTTCAGCAATTACCACTGATGTTGAATTATATATAGTAAAATAACTGCTTGCAGAAAACTTGAATATTAGTTGTCAGCAGCAAATATATATTTTCATCAACAAAAGCACAGTTTGCACACTGATATTTATTGATCTTTAGTCGGGTTTTGTAATATCTTATCAATAACGTATTTTAAAACAGGTATTATAACTGGGCGTTGGCTGCTCCAATGATCCTGAGTTTGCAGGTGTTTCAGAAGAGTTTGCCTAAGGTAAATAGATACATGTATACTTTTTTTGAAGATTGTGTATGTAGTAACACATGATTATCTCTTTATTTTGTTGTTCTATAAAAATTAAAAACATGCCTAATTTTTCAGGCTACTGTTGAGTCTTGGGTCAAAGAAAAGATGCCAAAGAAGTCTGGAAGGTGGTGGTTCTGGCGCAAGAGAGAAAGCATGACTAAACAGGTAACTGAGATGTATTTTGATTTTTCTTTTTTTTTTAATTTCCTTAGCTGTTAAAAGATGAAAAAATTGTAATGTGTCTGAAGTGCCTCAGAACGCTGCTCATATAGCACTGTCACTGATTGCCAGGTGAGAGTTACTCAGTGTTGCAGTAGCTGTAGCTGCTTCTCTATATTTAGTCTTAAATACCACACCTTTATTTGCTGTTGCTAGTTGTTTCAACAAAAATTGTTGTATCCAGCTGTTGCACAATATTCTTAAAATTCTTTCTTCTAAGCCATAAGCAGTTGGCAGAGCTACTGTTCAGTCACTGCAGTATGTTTTAGTAATGTATACACGAATAAATAAGTAGGTGCTGTGCTGCATGATAGATGTTTTAGACTAAATTAAGCTTTCTAAGCCTTGAGTATGTGCCTTAAACTTACTTCCACCTCCAAAAAGTGAATTCTAAGCTTAGAGGTTGACAGCTCCTTTAATGCTAAATTCATCATGTTAAACTAGCAGTTCTCAACTTCTGGCATGCAGTTTTGTTTCCTGAAATAATAAAATGCTTCAATGGATCATTTCTTCATAAGCGTCCTTTTGTTAAATAATTTACAGAATGAGTGATTCTGAGACTTAATATAGTTTATGTACTATATTGATAGCTATATGCTTAGCTGTGAACTATGAATGACCTTGGATCAGTTTAAAATGCTTAAAATGTCAATATGTTTTTTATTATCATGTTGCTTTAGATACCAGAGGCAAAAGAGGGGAAAACTGACACACAAAGAGCAAATGAACTGCCAGCAACTATAAAAGAGCAAGTTAATAGTAGGTGTGTTCCTGTCTGAAGACTGTTTTGTGGACTGAATAGTGTCTTTTTTTTTTTTTAAATGAAGAATTCAGTAGGAATTTACTGTGGGAAGAAACATTTTCCTCTAAGCTACCGGAGAGGAACCAGATGTGTTTAGCAAACAATTCAGCAAAACAATGTGGCAGCAAACATATTAGGAACTACAAAAACACTACAATTATTTCCTAAATCCTATTGTGTTTACTTCTTAAATAGTAACGTAATTGACAAAACAACAAAGACATATATGGTAACCTTTAGCAATGGGCACTACTCTGTAAATATAGTGGTATTCTTTCTGAGATACTGTTTGGGGGTTTTTTTTTTAAGTCTAATATTGTTTGAATAATTTAAACCATATGCATTTTTTGTAACAATTAATTCAAATAATAAAATAGTATTAAATGCAGCACACAAGTTGCCCAAGATCGTGGTTGACAACTAGCAGTATTTAGCACAAAACTGTCCCAGTCTAGGTAATTTATTGTGCGTGTTCGTATTCTCCCATGATTTTACGAAGATACTTGTAAATGTTGTTGGTGTCTTAAAGATTTAAAAAACTAAATATACTGTGATTGATTACTTCAGAGAAATTAAATGCTGCTTTTAATCTTGAAATCTCTAATTAGCAGAAAAGTAAGTCTGTGAATAACTGTAAAAGGTGAGCTACTCCACTAACTTATCTCCCAGAGTTTAAATTATGTAGTAACTGTGGCAGTTTATTTAAAAAACAAAACATTGTTACTCATTCAGTACCTGTTTTCATCTGCAGTTTACCTAATTCATCTACACAGTATTAGTGACCACTTGACACTGTGTCTTTACTAAACCCCTTGTGCGTGGAGCCAGCTAGTAATAGGAATGTTTAGAGCTCCACCAATACTAGCATGCATTACAAGTCTTACTTGCTTATTGGCATATACTAGTTTTATCTGGGTATTCACTAGACCATGGACTTTGTTAATCTGTGCTATCAGGCTAGTTGCAAATCCTCAACATCAGCAGAAATTACTCTTGCATAAGAATCGTACACCAATAAAGAAGGATTTTCTGTAGCTTACATTTATTCTGGTTGATGTCATGTTAGACCTCCAGAAGATGATTCTTCTAGTGATGAAGCATCACAGGAGTTGAAGGAATCCCTGAAAATAGATTCTGCCCCAGCAGAGCATCCAACCCATGGGAACATTACATCTTACAAGAAGTCACTTAGACTGTCTTCAGACCAAATAGTAAGTGGCACACCTTTCTTGTACATAGGATGCTTCATAATTCCACTCTGATTCTAACAGTTGGACTTTTTCTGCTTTTTAGAAGTGATGCATAAATACATTTTGCAAATTAAAAATTGATCTTTGGGTTACTTTTCTAGCAGTAGAAAAAAAGAATGGGGAAATTTAAAATTTAAAAAGAAATTTAAACTGTTTTCCTGTACTAGTGTGGGCAGCTGCAGGGAATTTTTTATTAATTTTTTTCTGTTGTGTTTTTTTAAGAATCTGTGTTTGGATTAAAAAAAAATAATAATTTCTTATGAAGTTCTATAGTCAAACTTCTACATTAAGATATTGTCAAAAAAGTGACATTGTTGGCTTCTGCAGTTTGGAAATCCTGGGATCTGAACAGTCTAATAATGTACATTTAAATTGGTATGTAGTTTATTCATTGCAGTCTAACTTGTAAGTTAGTTCTGCTATTGTCTAAATGTATGATCTTCATCACGGAAGAATTTTGGGGAAAGCATCCACTAAGTAGAAAATACTATTGCATACTATAGCAAACTGGGGCTTCCATTTGATAGTACCGTAAGTCTACTGTAATAGCAAGAATTTAAGCAGTAGGGAGTCAAATATCTGCTGCTGTAAGCAGATGTAGGAACTATGGACAAATACATGTACCCAGACTACAAAACAGACTTTGCCAGCAAAACTGCCAGTGTTAAACCATGGTTCATTTTCTGATGAGTTAATCAAAATAGACAAGGAAGAGTATATAAGCCATTTCTTGTAGCTCATTTATGATTCTAAAAATTGTACAGTGAGGGCAACTTATATTTTCAATTACTTTGATTTATTCTAAAGGCAAAGTTGAAGCTCAGAGATGGCCCTAATGATGTTGTATTTAGTATTACAACCCAGTATCAAGGGACTTGCCGTTGTGCAGGAACAATATATCTCTGGAACTGGAATGATAAAATCATCATATCAGACATTGATGGAACAATAACCAAGTAAGTATCATTGGGGTTTTTTTTTCTTTTCTTTGATCCTATCATGCTTTTCAAAATAAGATAAAGAAACTTGATTTAAGATGACTATTACAGAATGTTCATTAAAAGTCATGAAAAAAACTTGTAGAAACGTAGAATCTTTTAGGTTGGAAAAGACCTTTAAATCATAGAGTCCAACTGTCAACCAGACCACTAAACCATGTCCTGAAGTGCCTTGTCTACGTGCTTTTTGAACACCTCCAGGGATGGTGACCCAACCACTTCCCTGGGCAGCCTGTTCCAATGCCTGACAGCCCTTTCAGTAGAGAAATTTTTTTCTAATATCCAATCTAAACCTCCCCTCGTGCAACTTCATGCCATTTCCTCTCGTCCTATCTCCAGCCACCTGACAGAAGAGACCAGACATCCTTTCAGGTAGTTGTAGAAAGCGATAAGGTCTCCCCTCAGCCTCCTTTTCTCCAGACTAAACAACCCCAGTTCCCTCAGCTGCTCCTCCTAAGACTTGTGCTCCAGGCCCCTCACCAACTTGGTTGCCCTTAACTTGTTGCTTTGATTTTAGTTTGTACTTGCATTTATAGCAAACTAGAAAATGTCTTTTAAAAGAATAATGCAAAGGTGATAATGTTTACCATGTGACTAATGCCCTTTCAGTTAGACTTCTCCAGATTTAGCAGCCATAGGTTAACTTGGAACTGACTTGTGCTGTATGGCCCCCCTAATTGCTCTGTCTGGAGTAGTCACTAATTCTCTTTTGAAATTAAGACCTTCTGCAGAGATATTTATCATTATAAATTATCATTATCATCATCAAAATTTATCATTATAAATTGTAGATTCATTAGTGGTTGTCTTTAACAAAACTCATATACTTAGTATCAGCTATCTCTGATGTTGTTTTTAGGTCTGATGCTTTAGGACAGATCCTCCCTCAGCTTGGCAAGGACTGGACTCATCAAGGCATTGCAAAACTCTATCATTCCATAAATGAGTGAGTATGTAATCCATGAAGCAATTAGGGTTTGCTGGAATTTGGGAATTAATGGGCAAGTAATTGGATTGTTGTTAATAATTATGCAATTTATTACAATTTGTTGGTCTAAATGTTGGGAAGTAAGCTACTTCTGTCATTCACAAACAAAACTAAGTTCTTTCCCCATATGTATAATTTTACAGGAAAGGAAGCCACCACTTTTACTAATGCCCTTCTCAAATTTTTGATTCTGCATTTTAATTTTTAAAAACTGTGTGTAATATTGTTGTGACTAAAAAAAGAGAACCATAATAGCAATAATTTCTCAAACAGTCATGCATACCTGTTTCCACCAACTCAGGTTGATCACAAAGCATATTACAAACATGGCATAGTGTAAATTCAAACCTAAATTGTGTCCTTCCAATGCCTAAATATTTTGTGTTTTAATGTGTTTGCTACCAAACTCAAGTGAATGCTCCCTAGGATAGATTTCATGTTCTGAAACAAGCCTAATTAACAACGGGCCACTTCCACAAAGGGAAGGTTGGTGGCCTGGGTCAAGTTTTCTGTCACTTTTTTGCACTGCTGACAAAAGCCAATGCAGTTCAGTAAAACAGTAGAAAAGAATTCAGCAAAACAGCAATTTCCCCTTCTCCTCTCTGGGTTAGTCAACTGAACATGCTCACCTTGTGATCTCCAAGAACCTACAGAAGCAGACTGTGTGCCTTCTCCCTTGCAGCAGTGGTGAGGTGTTTGCTTAGTTCAAAAGTGTTGTGAACCACACACTTATAAATGTAGTGTTCATCTGAGAGGTATATAGCCTTATAAATATTTATGCCCAGTAACTTAGGGCAGAATAAACCTACATATTTCCTCCCCTTTCAGATTTAATCCTTTGTTTAGCAAATTTTTTTTTAAAATATAGTGATGCCAGAAACAATACTTGCTACTGAGGATAATCATAGGATGATCAACTGTTAAACACTTCACAATCCACTTAAAAGAATCAATTTTTATCTTTAAGTTTAGTAGTCTTTCTTTCCCCCAAAATATTTGGGGTCTTAGAATCTATTGTTGGCCTTCATTCTGTGGCTAAATTTTGTCTGTGGCCCCTGGCAGTCCGTGGGAGATAACCTGAACTTTTTTTTTTTGTATCCAGTGCATAATAGAAGAGTAGTTTTGGAATTATTCGGAATCAAGTCTTTGAAAATGCACATAAACACTCAAGTCTTCTGTGCATGCAGTAACTGTGCACAAATCTGTGTAATATGAACCTACAAAGTCTGCAGGAAAAATTTAGGGGCTTGATGAATGCTTCTTGCTATCTGTCCTTCACTCTGTGCTGCAAATTCTGCCAACAACCTGAAAAAATCCCAACAACCAAGACAGGAGATCTGGCATCTGATATTATGTGATGTAGATAATTTAAATAATTGCTGTCATCCTACAGCTGGGCTGAAAGAAGCTGGATAAAACCAATGTGGCACTTATTTAAACACAATCTAGTCCATCTAATTGTGTAATCTGAGTATTATCATCCCTGTCTTTTTTGCCCTTCCTGTTTCTCAGTTTTGATTGACTCATGTCTTTAAACTATTATATGCCTTGCAGATTTTTTTAACAGTGGAACAGTCTTTTCCCTGTGTGTGTGCACAGCACTGCAACAAGTCAATACCTAAACTGGTGCCTCTGGACATTGCTATAACTGTATACTTATGTTGGCAAAGAAAGTCTTCAGCAGGAATATGAACTAAGTTGATAATTCTTTTCTAGAAATGGCTACAAGTTTCTGTACTGTTCCGCCCGTGCCATTGGGATGGCAGATATGACCAGAGGATACCTACACTGGGTGAATGACAAAGGAACAATTCTCCCCAGGGGCCCTCTCATGTTGTCCCCCAGCAGTTTGTTTTCTGCCTTTCATAGGTAAGCATGTGGGATTTCATACACCCATTCCTTCCCCATTCAGAGGAAGAAGCAGATCAAAAAGCTTTGGCATGCTGACCATTACAACTGTAACTAAATGATCCACTCTGTGCTAGATTTGCTACTGAGACTTGATGTCCCTCTAGTGATCATTTATAAGCTATTTGTTTTGTCTGAATTTCACTAGCAGTATACTTCTGTTTCTGTGGGCATGTTAGAATTGGCTACGAGACACAAAATACCAGTCACAGAGCAGCTCATTTTCCCTTTTCTTCATTCCTCCACTCCATGACTGATTACTATTAGGTTCTGTTTATATCAGTACAATTTTGTCTTTTCAAGTATAGCTACAAGGATTGTAGTGCAGTGCTACTATGCAAGATAGAGGGAAAAGAAAAAAAGCTGGGGAATATAGACTGTCCTACTAAATGATCTTGCAATATTGGACGTGCTCCATATATGACTACTTAAAAAGCAATATGGAGTTTAGCTATGGTTCAACTCAGTTGATCTTTTGAACCAGCCATAGTCTACCTGTTCTTGATGGGAAGAGCTAATAGTGGAAAAGTCTTTTTGGTTTAGCGCTTTTTTTTTTTTTTTTTTTTTTGTAAAAACCATTGATTCATGGCTAGTAGTGACAGCAACTTGCATTAAGGTCACTAATAGGCTTTCTGCACTCTTTTGTCAGAGACAGGAGTTGTAACAAGCTTGTGTGTACTTGATTAGGTCTTCTGATTCAGATGGTCATCCACAATAAAAGCAGTTCACAAATTGCATTCACAACTGGGAATTTCATGCCATTTACTTAGCCTACGCACAGGTTATTCACCTATTTTTTTTTTACTATGGATATTGGAAAACAGCAAATGTTTTATTGTTTTGTTGTATCTTTTATCATTCTTGGAAAACTATTGACCAATATCTATCTAACTACCAATGCTAGCAACAGGAAGCAATAAGAATATAAATATCAGATAAATGGAGGAAGGAGGATACCCTCTATCAAATCATTATTTAGAATTTGACTGTTGAAATTTTATTTTAGGGAAGTAATAGAAAAGAAGCCTGAAAAGTTCAAAATCGAATGTTTGAATGATATCAAGAATTTGTTTGCTCCCAGCAAACAGCCTTTCTATGCTGCTTTTGGAAACAGGCCCAATGTAAGTGTGCCCCTCTCTAACTAAAGGGTTAAAATGCATGAAGTACTTGGGAAGCAAAAGAAATAAGCTTTTCTTTTTGTGTCTATTCTGAATAAGAAAATGGGACACTGGTGCTTTTATGGGTTTGGTCAGGAAAATCCACATGCAGATACCTTAAATAAAAGCTGCTAGAGCTGCTTATATGAGAAAGGTTACAAAGATGTGATCGTATTCTCAGGATTTTATTAAATATGTGCCACCTTTCCATATTTTTTTTCAGCATTTTTGACAGCTTTATAACTTAAGGTTATTAATTTAGTGCTCCTCAGTCTTGAATCCTTTTTCCTATTGTATGGTTCCTGTATTTTCTCTGCAGATCAATGCTATTGTAATTGAGCTAGAGAGAGAGGAGGTATTCCAAGAAGAATATTGTCACAAGGAATAGTATTGTGTGGTATAGATTTTGTGTGTGTTTGAGGTCCCAGGCTTGGGAACAGGAACTTAGGGGCTGGGGGTGGGGGAATGTTTTGTTATGGTATGTGTATGTTTTTAGGGGTTTGTTTTGCTTTGGTTTTTTGGCTGTTATTTTGGGGGCTTTCTCTTAAGCGGCAGTTTTATGTACCCTTTTTGGATCAGCTTTTTCTCATTCCTTCAAGAAATTGTTATGTAATATTCAATAAGGAAATGTTGAAACATGTGCTTTTGTTTATGCTTTTTGCAGGATGTATATGCCTACATGCAAGTGGGAGTTCCAGACTGCAGAATATTTACTGTGAATCCAAAGGGTGAACTGATCCAAGAACGGACTAAGGGAAACAAATCATCGTAAGATCATTTTTGTTATTTCAGCTAAAGAAAGCATTTAGGAATAAGACTTACAAAATAATTGTAATTGTGACCATGATTCGATCTCCTATTACATACATCACATAAAAATCTTATTTGCCAGAGACTTACAGCTTTGGATACTTAACTGAAACTTTTCAAAAAGAAAAGTAAACTGGTGAAATAAAATTGAAAATTGCTTCTGCAGTAGTGATGCCTTATTTGACTACAGCTTTCTGGTCTAGACTTCTAAAGCTCCTTTTTGGCTACAGTTGAACAGTGACTAGACTGTTAAATAATGATCTTTCTTCTTTTTTAATATAGATATTACAGACTAAGTGAGCTTGTGGAACATGTGTTCCCATTGCTTAATAAAGAACAGAGTTCTGCATTTCCGTGCCCAGAATTCAGCTCCTTTTGCTATTGGAGAGAGCCTCTTCCTGACCTTAATATGGACGACCTGGCCTGAAAAATACTTCTCACCTAGAGATGGAATTTCATATTCAGCTACTCCAGTTTAAATGTGAAGAACTTTCTTAACAAAGATGCTAATTTATATACTGGTACCATAAGTCTTACTAAAGAAATCACTTTAATTCCGTTGGTTTAAAACAAAGAAAATGCAAAGCTACTGTCAAAAAAATTTTTTTCTTTTGGGGGGTGGTGGTGGTTGTTTTCTTTATTGCTTGTCTTTATATACCTGTTCTAAGGCACTTGAGATTGGCCTGTTATTGATGGTCATGGTACCCAAGTGCTTCCGGGCAACTAAATGCTGAGGTAAATTATGACTTTGCATTTTCATCAATACAGACCTTATTGTAAACACAGATTTTTTGTTTGTTTGCTTTGGTTTTTTATTACTCTTAATAGTATATTTTCTAAAATGAAGCCAAAAAGTATACGGAAACTGCCAAATAGAATGTCAGACCTATTAATAAAAAACGTGGTCTAATGTTCAGATGGGCAATTAGGCCATTTTTGAAAGGAGCCAGAACCTAAAACCAGTGTGGTCTTTCTCAGCTAAAATACAGAATATGTGTAGACATTACAAGCCTGACAGACTCTGAAGATGCAAAATTCCTCTTTAAATGTAAATATGCCTTTTGTCACATGTACAAGACTGTGCTTGTACAATTCATGCTCAAACTAACTCCGCTTATTACTTTTTTACATGCAGTATTTAAACTATTTAATGAGCTTGTTAAAATGAAAGTTGTCTTCAGATACTTGTATGGCTTTTGCTGTTTTCAGGCTGCACTATGTCATGTTAAATTTCCATCAGGAAACATCTTGAACGTTTCTGTAAGAGTTGGGGAGCTGGCATTTTTATTTCCTTTTTCAACACAGAGATGATGCATATGTGTGTGTATGCTGTGTAGGCCAGTAAAACGTATGTACAGATTATATTCAGGGAATTGTAATACTAAAAAAAATTATGTATTTAATTGTCTACTGCAGGTCTTTCCAGAATTCTGTATTGAAGGTTTTCAGTAGCTGGAAGGAAATGCAGCTCAATAGTGAAATTCCAGGTATGAGAATGGTTAAATGCTGCAAAGCAGAATAAAACTTTTTTTTTTGTTTTTTTTTGTTTTTAAATTTCGGGTTAATCATAAACATCATGCTGGTCATTCCTCAGGTTCAGATCAGAGCCTGTGAACAAATTGCATTCCAAGCCTAGTGTTTATCAGCTGTAAAAGCAGCTAGTATTTCTCTCTCCAAAAATACTTGAAGGCAAAGGTAGTTTTGCTTTTTGAGTTAGTGCATTTAACTTCTGGACAAATCTATGATGAGAATGTATCATTCCACCATGCCAGAGGGTTAAGGACTACTGTCATTTAAACATCAGCCCTGGGCTTTCTGGGCACACAGTCTTTTCTGTCACTCCTTAAGCAAGTTCCTGGGACAATGCAATAAAGATCCTTCCAGGGGCAATGCCCAGAATTTCCACCAGGATCTGGGCCGAGCTCTGCCCCGTACACAGCTGCCAGTGGGAGCAGGGAAGTGTGCAGGCAGGTGTGAGTGATCTTTAGAAGGCATTTGTATGGCTACCTGCTGTGGTGCCTGCACCGGGGCTGCTCTTCTCACAAACAGCTTGGGCAGGCCCTTCTGCTTCAGCTTACTTGGGCTGAATGTAGGAAAAGAGCTCTCTTCGTTTCACTACCTGCAAAAGAGTATATTTAGAGGATTTTACCCACCCCCTGGAATATTTTCTTTCCTTTATCAGGCTGAGTAGTCTTAACCCACAGTTCTGATATAATACCAGCTAATGCTAAACATTTGGTGAACTGCTTGGGGGGATCATTTCTAGATAACTATGTAAATGAAATTACTTTCTTTTTTTGTTTTTCCTTATAAAACACTAGTGTATTCCTGTATTTATAAAACATTAGATAAAGAATGGGGGGAAGCAAAATCAACATGGAACCTCTCTTTCAAAGCAGGAGTATGAGTGGGAAAGAAAACATACCTGTCTGTCACAGTAAGCCATGTTGATAAGTGAATTGAAAGGCATCCTTCTTGTTGTGCAGTAAGAACAATACTTTCTGTGACTATTTCAGCAAATTCTTGGTCCTGTCACCAATCTACTCAGAGTTTAAATGGATTTCACAGGATTCAACTCAAAGGATACTTTGCTTTTACTGGTTTCTTTTTTTTTTTTAACTGGCAGAGGCTTTTTTCCTTTTTTTACCTTTTATTCCATAGATTTCATTAGAAACTGAAATTTTCATGATCACCAAGTGCTTTGAATATGAATGGGATCTGAGCTTTTAAGACACTTAAATACTTTAAAATAAATAAATAAGAATCCAACATAATAACGTATTTTAATTACAAGATGAAATATTCTATCTAAAGATTCTATTTTACATAAAGTGAGTGAAGTTGCCTCTCCTAAAACAGTCCATTGTGGATATCAAAGCTTTCTTTACCACACTTAACTTATTCTTGGTGGCCCTGGTATTACACAGGTTTTCTAAAAATAAAACCACTTCATGAAACTGGGATGGGTTTCCAAATGGGACAGATTGTTATCAAGGTTTGTCTGTATCATTCTTGGTTGATTTTTTTTTTTTTAACTCGGTTAATTTTTTTCTCTTCACTTCAGTTCCATTCATCTTTTCAGATTGTCATAAAGATAAGCTGTGGATTTTAAGGTGGGGACTTGAGTAAATGAGCAGTGTGGAAAAATCGTATCAGGTATATCTCCAAAAACATATAATTTAAGCTGGTATGAATATGGGGGTTGTGTGGTTGTAGACAGCTCCTCACTCTGCTAACCTGTTACTTTGCATTATAGGGATGTCCAAAAAGATGCTTAGTTAAAAATTTTTCTTTTTTTGTTCTGTAACAGCTACAGTTTTGATATTTGGTTTTTGATAAAATGTAAAAGTGTTATTGAATATTTCTGATATGCATAGGGCAGGAGTTCGTTTTGTTGTTCTAAATCTGGCTTGTATTTGAAGCTTTTCAGATTGTTTGTTTGTTAACCCTGCTTAGGGACAGAATATGGGGGCACTGTACCTACCATTGCATACCTATGTAATTTGGACTGCTGGGCACTTTACTGACTCTAGAAAAGACATCTCATTAGTATCAACCTGTAGGCTTGTGCTGCAATATTAATATGAAGTGGGGTAAATAAGAATTATGCATTAGCCTATCCTTTGTTACCTTAGTTGAGAGAAGTGGCCTGAAACTAATGTTTGAGAACAAGTTGTGCTATACTTATTTAAAATTAGCACAAGATAAATCATTCTTTCTGTGAAAGAGGAACTTCTAAATGTGTATGTCTGTAGGCGCATGCACACCCCTGTTAAGACTGTGTTGTTGAAGATGCAGATACTCTTAGCATTGGAACCATCTCAAAGGCTGAGTCAATGATACTTATCTGGGAATAAATAAGGGACATTGCAATTCAAAACTTGTTAGTAACTTGGACATTACCCGTTTCTCTAATGACTTAAAGATCAGTAACTTCAGTGGTACACATTTCTGGATGATTTTTTTTTTTTACTGTACCAAGCATGTTTGTACTTCAAAAAGTTGGGCTCTCATCCCTAACAGTATACAATTGCATGTGCAATCTTGGCTCATGTACCCTTAGCTTCCTGTCATCAGTATACTCCTAAAACTTTTTTTTTCAAGTGGAAAAGTTTTAACACTTGTGTCAACTCCATTATGGAACTTCTGAAGCAAACTCTGAATCCGCTTATGGTAAAGACAAAAGAGATGAGATTTCATGTTAATATTTCATACAAGTCTTCTAGCTGTCATATGAATGAGAGTTGCTTAAATTACTGTAATGCAAATTCATAATGAAACATCAAAAATAGTGAATTTGAGATGCCTTTAAAGTGTCACTTTTGCCTGAAGTTTTAGTTTCCAAAGTTGAATTCTGCTGAATAGAATGAAATTGCTTGGGATTTTTTTACAGTGTTAATTACTTCCAGATGAATGTTAAAACATTGGTTTATTTTAATGGTGGGAAAACTCTCTTCAATCATTTGTTTCATTTTTTATGTTGAAGATGTGGAATACTTGATTGTTAAGCAACCCAATCACTGATAAGGTAGCGTGTTTAAAATTGTCAAATCTGTGATCATACCAATACCGTGGTTTTTGTTAAGACTGGACTATCTCGGGTACAGTAACCCACACTTCAGTGCAATGTTTATTGATGTTCAGAACAATGTTATCACAATAAACAAACTTAAACTAAATGTTTTCTTCAGTTTGTACATGGGAATTCCATTCTTGAATTGCTGATTTAGTAAATGTGGGTTTATTTAAATTGTATTCGTATTTTACATGGAATTCAAGTTGATCTTCTAAGGACTATAATACATCTGCTTTCTCTCACATGTGGTTTATTTTTTTCAGAGTATTTATACAACTGATAAATAATTGCTGTCATCAGACTTACATTATGTGCCAGTACCAGTATTGGGTTATAACTATAACAAAAAGCAAACAAGCATTAATAATATAGAATAGCAGGTAACAGATGCATGACTTGGGAATACACAAGCTGCCTTGAAGAAAATCTTGCAACTGCATAGTTTGAGCTCTTGTAAATCTGCCCTAATTTGGAGTTTTATCTGAATTCCATCCAAGTTAACTTTTTCCTTTCAAGGCAAAGAGTATTGTCTTCCACAACAGTTGTTAAATTGCTTGAGGCAATTATTGTGAGACCATCTTGAAAAAGGGGCTTCATGCTTTCACTAGAAACTTACTCTTCCTTGTCTCTTGCTGCTGTTGGTAAATGCAACTAGCTGCCTACCTTAGAAAATCCAACTATTTCGGTCACATGTAAATGATGTCACGCCTTTTAATCCTTCTGCAGTGTGTGTCGTTTGTGTTGCTGCACCCAGCACCCATTCGCTCTGCTTGCGCACAGACACAACTTACTGCTAGAGTTTTTATCGTCTCCTGCCGCAGTAGCAGACTCTCCGTTTCTGTTGGGTTTCCCCTGTGATTCTGCTCACACGCTGCACCCTTCTCTTCACACCTCAGGCACTTTGCTCCTCACACCACGCTCTTCACTGCCCATCTTTCACACCTACATCTCAGTACTTGCTTGTGTGCGGTGAGCAACTACGCCAGTGCAAGCAGTAGAAGAGTGGCATGTCCTATGTTCATGCCAAATGTTCAGATTTGTTGAAAAAACACTTTTGAGCTGGTGTTGTCTCTCCTGTGTCCCTCTTCCCCTAATGGACTCCTAATGGTGTGATCTTGTTCCTGGTGGATTGATTTTTACTGTCTTGGAGCAATGGTCTTAGATGTGCAAAGAATAGAATCACAGAATCACAGTTTCCAAGGATGGGCACTTTCCTGTGTGTGCGCAGGGCACTGTTCCTAGACTTACGTCATGCAGTTTGTACACCGAGGGCCCTGGCAGGCTGTGTGTGCAGCCCTGCACCATTTTGGTTGGGGAGTACGTGTG